GAGGAGGAGGAGGAAGGGGAGGAGGAGGAGGAGGAAGAGTAGTTGGAGGAGGAGGGACGTTCCCCTTTTCCCTTCCTCCCCCCTTTTCTCTTTCCCTCCTCTCCTCCTCCTGTTGTTGTCCAACCCGGTTCTATTTCTTCACGTCGACCTCGCACGTCGGCAAGAATTTGACGCGGATCTAGCCGTGGCAACGAGGAAGCCTCTACGAGGATCAGAAAGGTTCGAAGTCTCGACCCTCGGCTCCGGTCCATCCTCAAGGACCCCTGCCTTTGTGGCGAGTCCTTGATGCAGCGCGGCCTGTCGGAGTCTGGCGCCGCGTCCTCCGACGGTGCTCCAGGGGAGCCCCGCTCTCTCTCTCTCTCTCCGACCTCACCTCCCCCGCCCCCTGGGAAAGATAGGGCGGAGAAGAAACAGCGACATAACAGACATAAGCTCTAGGAGGTCAGCGCGGCTTTCTTGGATCGGCGTTGTATTCCTCGCCTTGGCGCGCGGAACCCTCCAGGGGCGGCGCTGGAGGCCATGCCAGGGGGGTCCAGCGCGGATCCAAAAAATGCGCACGGACCTGTGACAGTTTGTATCTAGGAGGGGAGTTGTGGAGGAGGGGGGATGTCAGAGGAATTTGGGCAATGAGGAAAGGGACTGCGTTGCAGTCACATGGGGGTGCCTTGGGACCAGAGCTGTTGCTCCTCCCAACTCGTGACTTCCCTGATCGTCAGAATCCCAAGGAAGGTGCCCTCGTCGGAGGGGTGGCCGTAGAAGGATGCTGGTTCTTCTATTCCCCCCCGCGCATCAGGGCGGCGGCCTCATTTGCGCCGTCCAGCGACGGAGCCATGCGCATGGTCAGCGCCGCTATTTCGTCAGCAAGGCCCGCTCGGGGGGAAGCTGGGAGCAATTCTCAACCCTGTTTTTCGTGGCGCGTGTAACGGGGATCATTGCTCAGGGGGGTCAGCCAATCCCTTATGATCCCCTCTGGCTGACCCGGGCCTGGGAGCCATGTGGAGCTCGATCCCCGGGGCATCCGTCCGCTGTCGGTTTTCGTCCGCATGCTCGTCGTCCTCCTCGTCTTTGTCGCTACAAAAAACGATGGAGTGCTTGCGAAGAGTCGGCACAGGTCGAGACGCAGACGTCTGCAGCAGTCTGAGTGCTTACTTCTCGCGGAGTGCCTTGCCCAGACGTCCACGAGTTGTAAGGCCTCGTCGCTGTCCTTGTCTTCGTAATGCAGGGTTTCCCCAGTTGTGTAGTTGTGACTTTGTGGCGATGTAGCGGCGAGGTGAATTCCAGGTGGCCAGTAGGCAACCGCGCAGTGCGTAGCTTTGAGGCTGATGTAGTACAGCTCTGGGATAGTTTTGGTGGCAGCCTTGAGGTTTGCACGTGGTAGCCATGAGGTAACAGCGAGGCCGTTTATTGTGATTCGGCTGGAAATGAACCAGAGGTTGGAGCTTTGCAAGCTCTGTCAGAGCAGCGTGGGTAGGGCGGGCTTGATTACAGGAGAGCTGCCACTGCGGGCCGGCCTTCACGGAACGGTAGGTTACCCCAAGGCGCACCGTGTTTGGAGAAGGCGCATATTCGGGGCCAAGCATGCAAGAGACAGTGCTGCCCGCCCGACGCTCAGGAATGGGTGATACCCACGCTCAGACCCCAAGGGAGTGGGCAGGGGGAGGGCTAACCCTCTCCCGAGGAGGAAGATGGGGACGTTCTGGAGAAACTGACGCTCTGCACCACGTGCGTCAGGAAAGGTGGTGCGGTCTCGGTTACAGGGTCGTACTTCGGGCGACTTGCATCTTACGGGGTCGTATTGCGGGCCACACGCCATCATTTCGTGTATCTGTCTGTCTGTCTGCCTGTCTGTCTGTCTGTCTGTCTGTCTGTCTGTCTGTCTGTCTGTCTGTCTGTCTGTCTGTTTGTCTGCCTGCCTGCCTGCCTGCCTGCCTGGTTGCCTGCCTGCCTGCCTGCCTGCCTGCCTGCCTGCCTGCCTGCCTGCCTGCCTGCCTGTCTGTCTGTCTGTCTGTCTGTCTGTCTGTCTGTCTGTCTGTCTGTCTGTCTGTCTGTCTGTCTGTCTGTCTGTCTGTCTCTCTCTCTCTCTATATCGCCCTAAGCGCGCGCGCGGGCGCTTCGCGCGCTCAGGTTCTAGTCGCAGATGAGGCACGGGTGCCGCTGTAAGCCCTAGTGTTGTCGCAGCGGCGATTGCCAGCGTTCTCGGGCCCATGCCATCGACTCAAAGAAACGCGTAGTCAGAACGCTCTCGCTCTGCCGGGGCCGCCCTTGAGGGGTGGGAGGGGGAAAGCAATTTGTGAAATGATAAGGTATAGCGATGCCCCGCTCGCTCTTGCGGGCTTGTCTGGCGCTCTGGCGGGGCCGTCCCAGGAGAGGAGGGAGGAACACGAAAGCTGAGGGGTGAGGGGAGGAAGATGAGAGAGGAGGGAGTGGATGCAAGGGGAGGGGGCGGGAGGGAAGGAGGGACGGAGGGGGGAGGCCTGGGCCATTTGGGCCGTCTTGGAGCGCTCTGGGGCCTCCGCTCCCGCTCTGTGGCTCAGCTTTGGCCTGTCCTGGTGTTTTTGGGCCGTCAGGGACTCCTCCTGGACCATTCTCGGGTTCCCTGGGGCCGTCTTGGGGCTCTTCCGGGTGCCTCCTCGGCGGTCTCGGGGCGATCTTGGGGGCGTCTGCGGCCGTCTTCGACCATTGGAAGCTCGAGAACGCGATAAAGCGTAAAACGTCGAACAAACCAATGCAAGTCAATGATGTGGGCCTCTTTGGGTTCTCTCGGGACGTCTGTCGGAGCTCTCTTGGGCCCTCTTGGAGGCCTTTTGGGCTATATTTTTACCGTCTGGAGCTCCTCTTGGGCCACGTTGGAATCATCTCGGCCGTCCTGGATCGCCCTGGGGCCTCCCGCTCCCGTTCTGGGGCCCATCTTGTGCCTCTCCTGGAGTTCTCTTGGACAGTTTTGGGCTGCTCTTGGGAAGTCTTCATGCTCTCAGGGGCCGTCTTGAGGCTCTTTTCGGGGCTTCTGCTGCGGTCTTGCGGCGATCTTCGGGGCGTCTTCGGCCGCCTTGGAGCGATGGAAGCTCGAGAACGCGAGAAAACGACAAATATTTGAAAGACCGACCGGGCATCAAGGACATGGCCCTCTTCGGGCTCTTTCGGGACGACTCTCGGAGCTCTCGTGGGGCCTCTTGGAGGGCTTTTGGGTTGTATATTGGCCGTGTGGGGCCCATCTGGGGCCACGTTGGGGCCATCTGGAGCGCCTTAGGGCCTCCCGCTCCCGCCCTGGGGCCCAGCTTGGGCCTGTCCTGGGGCTCTCTTGGGCCGTCTGAGGCTCGTCCCGGGCAATTTTCGGGCTACCTGGGGCAGTCTTGGGGCTCTGTTGGAGGCCTTTTCGGCGGTCTTGGGGCGGTCTTGGGGGCGTCGTCGGCTGTCGTGGAGCGCCAGAAGGTCGAAAACGCGAGACACCGAGAAACATCGCAAGAACCAATGAAAGTCAAGGATTTGAGCCTCTTCGGGCTCTCGGGACGCCTCTCGGAGGTCTCTAGAGGCCTCTCGGAGGCCTCTTGGGCTGTGCATTTCCAGTCTGGAGCCCATCCGGGGCCACGTTGGGGCTATTCGGGCTGTCTTGGAGGGGCTTGTCGAAGTCCCCCGGGGGTTTCTGGGAGCTTCTTGGAGCTCTCTGGGGCAGTCTGGGGGCTCCACTGCCCCTACGGGGTGCTCTGGGAGCGGTTTGGGAGGCCCCGGTCCCGCCATGCCCCCCCGAGGTCGCGGCCCCTGGCGCCCAGGCCTCGTGCGCGGGTATATTATATGTGTATATGTATGTATGTATATAAATTCACATACTATATATATGTTTACATACATACATATATACACATATCTAGATCTGTAGGTACAGTTTTACATGCAACAAAGCAGGCATACGTGAACGTGCATATTCAAATGCACACGCACGCATATATGTATTCTGACTATCTAATTGTCGCTGTACTGATGCAGGGCCGCGAGTGGGCTCCTCTTGGGAATCTCTTGAGGCCGTTCTGAGGGTTTCTTTGGGGCCTGTTGGGCCGTCTTGGGGTCCTTTTGTGCCGTCTTGGGCCACTCTGGGCTGCCTTGGGGCCTCCCCCAGGGTGTGTGGGAGGGGAGGGTGGCCGAATTCGATGCCGGTTCGGCTTGACGCGAGCTGGTTTTCGGTTCGAGCCGACTCGGCCCTGTCGACTTCTCCCGATTCGATGTGTCGCCGATTCCCGCCCTATGTCTGCCAATTCGATGCTTGGTTCGATCCGATTCGATCTGCCCGCTCGATGCTGGGTCCAGAGTGCAAAGGACCCTTCGACCAGCCAGAGGGTTGTTCAATCCAACCTTTGTGTGCGACGGTCTTGCAAGGCAACGGGATGATAGAAATTCAGTTGGCTATCAGAGCAATGACTTGGCAGAGGAGCGTGTCGGCAGCAGCGGGATAGCGTCGCTCTTAGCGTCGCTCTTATTTTTTTTCGAAACGTCGGGCTCCGAAGCTCTGGACCCCAGAAAGCGTTTCGTCTTGGCGCCGCGGATATTTTGTTCGAAGACTTACAGACCATCGGGTTCCCAGAGGCTCGACTTCACAAAAGCGGGCCACCCATGATTTTGGAGGACTCCAGAGGTCCGGGGTCTGCCTATCCCATGCTAGGACTTGGAGACATCTGCAGGCATTCGCCGCCACGTACCTGGGGCCCAGCTGATTGTGTAGTGTATCAACTTGTTGGCCTGCGGACGTCGGAAGCCAAACGGCCCACGGCACATCTCACTCCAGAACCGCTCGGAGCCTTTCTCATTCTCAGGGCTGTTAGATGTCTGTTGTTTCCGAGGAGCAAGAAGTGATAATGATGATGATGATGATGATGATGATGATGATGATGATGATGATGATGATGATGATGATGATGATGATGATGATGATGCTGATGATGATGATAGTGATGATGATGATGATGATGATGATGATGGTGATGAGGATGAGGATGGTGATGACTATGATGATGATGTTGATGTTGATGCTGATGATGATGATGATGATGATGATGATGATGATGATGATGATGATGATGATGATGATGATGATGATGATGATGATGATGATGATGATGATGATGATGATGATGATGATGATGATGATGATGATGATGATGATGATGATGATGATGATGATGATGATGATGATGATGATGATGATGATGATGATGATGATGCGTTCCAAGATTTACAAGTTTTCCTGTCGGCCCACGGCACATCTCACTCCAGAACCCCTTGGAGCCTTTCTTATACTCAGGGCTACTAGATGTCGTTCGTCTCCGAGGAGCAATAAGTACTGATAATGATGCGTTCCAATATTTCCAAATTCTAACATGGAGCATTACACGTTCTTATGACCACTGGTAGCCATAGGAACGTGTGATGTTCCATTGTAGCCTCTCCCGTATTCAGGGCTGTTAAATGTCGGTCGTCTCCGTGGAGCAAGAAGTAGTGACAGCGATGCGCTCCGAGATTGCCAATTTCTCCTGCCGTCCCGCTCGGCCAGAGGCGACCGGCCGATGGCGAACCGCTGAGGGTCGCAAGAACCCTCCGAACTCCTGGAACGTGTCCTTAGCCTACCGCATCATGGACGCTCTTCTCGCCCCAGCGTCGGAGAAATTGACCTTACCCTTCCCTGAGATCCGACGTCTCGAAAAAATTGCGACGCCGTGAAACATCGCGCCTGGAGCCCTAGACCCTGTCTTTCTGCGCCATTTGTCGAACCGGATCGGTATGCGAGGGTCCCGGGGCCCGAAATTATGCGAAATCGCCAGGCTGGAAAAACCTGAGTCGCCAGGATCTCAGGGTTCCCCCGCCGCAAACCGAAGCCCGGCGCCCGCCGCCTGCACTGCCCCGTCGCCCGCCGCCCACGGAGAGGCCCCCGCCCTCGGCGGGCCCCCTCGCGGCGGCGGCGGCCCCAGACGCGGCCGTGGCGGCGGCCTCGGCGATGCTCGCGAGGCCGTGTGGACTGCTGGATGGGACTGAGGAGGAGGAGGAGGAGGAGGAGGAGGAGGAGGAGGAGGAGGAGGGGGAGGAGGAGGAGGAGGAGTTTCGAAGGGTTGATTCCTCCTGAAAGGAGGGTTTCGATGCTGCGTTTCTGAAAGCCGTCTCCTGGCGCCAGGACTGTCATGAACATGCTCAGGATGGTTGAAGACCCGGCCCCAGGGAAGGTGTCGGAGGCCCACGGGCCGACGTCACGCAACAGCTGCAACCTCGGAGCGGAGGATTAGTGTCGGGAGGGTCGACATGGGAGCGGAACGAATTTGGAACGAAGACCAGCATCGGTCCCTGCCCACTCTTAAAACATGACTCGCTCTCGGTGTCTCCGCGGACGTTGTCCATTCGGAGGACAAGTCGCCCGCCCACGAGCTGCCGCCGTCGGTTCTGGACAACATTCGTTGTTGGGCATCGCCCTCATTGTTGCAGTGGTGAGGGAGTCCAGGCCTCTCAGACGGGACTTGAGCAGATGGTGTCGGAGGATGCCGCCACCTCTCCAATGTATACACGGTGCGGCGCCATATGGGGCACCGGCCGATTAATCGGCGATGCGGTGCGAGCCTACCACCCCGTCTACTCTGGCTCCGTATGGGGGGCCTCCAGGGAGGGATGAGGTTCAGGTCACGACTGCGCAATAGGGCGTCAATCCGACGTTGGCCGAAGAGCGAGTGTCGGAGTCGACGCATGTGCTCTTCCCCATCGCCCGTCAAATAGATACCTTCCCTGGTTATTCCGTCGCTGGCTATGGCGGGGACGGCTAGGGAGGAGGGGGGGCGTTGGGACGGAGGAGGGAGACATGGAGGCATGAGGGAAGACGCATGGAGGATGTTTGATGATGATGATGATGATGATGATGATGATGATGATGATGATGATGATGATGATGCTGTTATTATGACGGCGACGACGGCGATGATGATGCTGCTGCTGATGATGATGAGGATGGTGATGAGGATGAGGATGGTGATGACTATGATGATGCTGTTGATGATGATGATGATGATGATGATGATGATGATGATGATGATGATGATGATGATGATGATGATGATGATACTGATGATGATAATGATGATGATGATGAGGATGCTGAAGGTGATGATGATGCTGATGCTGATTCTGATGATGATGCTGATGATGCTGATGCTGATGACGAAGATGATGATTATGCTGATGATAATAATAATAATGATAATGGTAGTGATGATGATTATGATGGGGATGATGGTGAGGAGGATGATGAGGATGAGGATGATGATGAGGATGAGGATGATGATGAGGACGATGGTGGTGATGATGATAGTGATAATGAGTAGGATGATGAGTATGAAAACGACTATGTTTTGGATTATAATTGTGATGATGCTGATAATGATGATGATGATGATGATGATGATGATGATGATGATGATGATGATGATGATGATGATGATGATGATGATGATGATGATGCTGATGATGATGCTGCGGATGATGATGAGGAGGATGAGGATGAGGATGAGGATGAGGATGAGGGTGAGGATGATGATGATGATGATGATGATGATGATGATGATGATGATGATGATGATGATGATGATGATGATGATGATAGTGAGGATGAGCATGAGGATGAGTATGAGGATTACCATCATAATGAGTATGAGGATGAGGAGGAGGAGGCGGAGGATGCTGACGAGGATGAGGATGATGATGAGTATGATTATTCTGATGATGATGATGATGCTGATGCTGCTGATGTTGATGATTATGATTCTGATGATTTAAATACGTTCGGCATGATGATGCTGCTGCTGCTTATCATGAGGATGATGAGTGGTGATGTCTATGATGATGCCGATTCTGAGGATGATGGCGATTCTGATGATAGTGGTTTGCTTTGATGTTGATGGTGACCGCGATCTTGTTGACACTTGTTGCTGACCAAAGTGATGAAGGGTGACCGGCATTGCTGAGTGACGATGGCGAGGGCGACGGCGACGGCGACGATCCTGATCGATGCGGATGACGAGGGCGACGGTGATGGTGGTGATGATGACGACGTTCATGATGATGTTGGTGGTTTTGATCAGGAGAAAGAGGTCTGCGCCTGCCCTCCGCTCTCTGCTCTCTTCTCCTTCTCCCCCTGCCTGACCCGCAGTGGGGCGACGACGCATAAACGGAAGTCGTGGCGCATGGTTTCCAGGGGTTCGCCAACCAAGAGCACGCAAGGAGGACGTGGAGAGCACTACGCCTGGCATTCAGGAGCCAACCCGCGCCAGCGCGGCCATCAACTGCGGGGCGGCCAACGTGAGCGCTTGGACGACGACGTGGAAACTCACCTTCAGCAGCGCAGGCTCGTCTTGGATCCAGCGCCCACGCTTGCCGCTGGGAAAGACCATCCGAACAATATGACTTTTGGTTCGAACGGTCCAAAACATCTTCACCTCGTGGACGCTCGGGCACCAGCACACTGGCCCTGGATGACGGCAATTACAACGCACTTCGACATCGGCCTTACGACTTCTTCTTCATCACCGCTGTCGTGACTTTTTACCCGTCTCGTGGAATGTACACCAGATCATGGAGGACATGGCCTCAGCCACCTGGTCGTAGCGCAGAGGTGTTCGCTCGTTCGTTTCCTCCCTGCCTGCTTCCTGCCCTGTCCTGCCTTGCCCTGCCCTGCTGTCTCCTCCTCCTCTCCTCGTCGTCCTCTACCTGATTCTCCTCCTCCTCCTCCTCCGCCTCCCGCCCCCTTCCTTCCCTTGCTCTTCCCGCGGGGCCTTTCGGCCGTTCCCTCAGAGGTCTGCCTCGCACGCCGCCATTGGCATGAGCGGCCTGCAGGCCGGTGCCCGCGGCCGTGGGACGGCAACGAAAGGGGCGGGAGTGGGGGAAGGACGGCGTCGAATAATTTTTCTCGGGGTGCCAGGGAGACTGGCAATATGCGTAGTAGTGACAGTACACAAGGTAATATTCAGAAGAGACAAGCACTAAGCATTCACATGGTAACATGAGGAAGACCAATATTCTGCGTCACCATACATGATATGGGAGGGGGAGACAGCATCGCTGAAGAAAGCGAAAAAGTGTGGATGGACATCGAACGAGACCCAGAATACGTACACGGCAGCATCAAGACTTTTTCGCCGGCGGCGCGGCAGAAGTGCTGCATCAGCGAGCCGCGATCGGGGGCGACCTTACGCGAATTGGCCGGCATGCAAGAGGCGGCCGCGGAGGACAGGAGGAGGGGGAGGGCACTCAGACACGGACAAATTCACTTTCGAGTGCATGTGCGGCCAGCAGCGGCAGCGGGGCCGTGGCAGCAGCCGGGC